CTTTAAAAAAGGAAAAGAAGAAATCCTGATATCCTTACAGGTGTTTCTGGAGAAAAAACTGGGAGCTCTAATCCCAGCATAGTTAGAGGAAGATAAAATTAATGATGGGACTTAAGTGCAGGAACTTTATTTATACAGTTCTCAACTGCATGATCAATGGATTTCCAACAGCACGCATAACCATGTCACACTATCTTATTGATACAATTAGGGGTAATTAGACTGATCATCTAGATCCTCCCTCACCCATTACCCCATAGTCTACATCTGACCAGTCATGGAAAGAAGCAGAAACACAATACAAAAATGTATTTATTACTACTAGCTAGTGATTTACATATATACTGTAAACGTATACACAGCTATATGCCTTTGGTAATGTTTTGAATGGTGAGAGAATGTGGCACCTATTTTATCTAGGGTTACTTTTTGCACAGGAAAAAGCTTATTATAAGCTTATCTTATGTCATTTTCTGCTACATAGATTTCTGTGATGGAAGGTTTTCAAATCTAATCTTCCCAATTTCAAGATATTTTTTGAAAAATAACTACCTTTCTTTTAAAAATGAAACTGAGTGAACTCGGTACAGCAGGGGTTCAAACTCGATTTCATTGAGGGCCGCATCAGGGTTGTATTTGACCTCAGGGGGGTCTAGTGGGCGTGGATGGTGTAGGCGTGGCCAGGGTAGGCGTGGCCAGCTTGATGTTCTGAAGCCCTCTACCAACGAAAATGGAGCCCAGGAGGACAAGCAGAGGCACCGCGGGCCAGTCCTTCACTGTTTTCAGGAGAAAAGTACTGAGTGAGATCCTGCAGCAATACAATAGTCAACATCTTTATAAAAACCTAGATCTGTCTTTCTTAACCTTGCTAATTTTAAAATGTGCATACTTCAACTCCCAGAATCCCCTGTGCTGGGAGTTGAAGTCCTCATAGCTTAAAAGTTGCCAAAGCTAAAAACATTGCTTTACCCAGAGCCTCCTTGTCTACTGCTGTCACCTGTTTCTTTTGCAGGAGCCAAGAATCTAAGAAGACTGCACACCTGTTAGGTCTCCTGTGTGAGCAGGATTGGACTAGAAGACTTCCAAAGTCCCTTCCAACTCTGTTATTCTGTTATAATTTGAGACAGATTTCCTCAGACTTCTGTTTTAGATCTTAAATGAAGATTTAGATTTTAAGTCATGAATAATTTAGGATTAGGGTATCTCAAGGATGTATCTTCTTCTAATAAGCCTGATTTGACATTATGCTCTTTAATGAAAGTTCAGTGGCTTCCTGAATCAGCTGGAACAAGCAATATAACCTCCAAATACTTTTAGTAATATATAGTTTAAATTTTCTATACCACTTGGGAGAGTCTCTTTGAATACAGTATCTTCCTTATTCTTTCCCTTCTATAGCTTATTAACTAATGAAAAATTCTGGAGAATTCTTTTTCTTTCCTACTCTCTTTTACGACATTTTAGATGGCCTTAATTTATTTCCCAGTGGGACAGAGTGAGGATTTGGACAGACCATTATGACTATCATGTGTTTTATGTGTTCAGAAGGTTATATATCCAAAATTCAATAAAAGGGTTTATTTAAAAAACTAGTTTTATACAATTATCCTAATCATTTGGTAACCATGGGGTTTCAAATTATTTAAGGAACTACTGGGATAGATTTCAGCTCTGCTAAAAGACTTTTCATTGTCTCCCCCCCTCCTTGTCCCCATACAGTCCTTCTTAAAGATCTACAATTACAGTGATTTATTCTAAATAAAGTGCACATAAAGTGTTGATAAAAGCCAAGCAACTTCGTCAAGCAACTTTTATTTATTTCCCTATGAGATTCTCCTACAAGATCATTTTTAATCATAGGATTAGGAAAGTGTGAAGGGGAATTTTGCCATTCATCAGTTCCTTACAAATAATAAGCATTTCCTCCTTTCTATCAGCAACATTCCTCTGGATATTTATTGTTTAAATATCCATGTTGACAGAGCAAAAAATATCCAACATCAGAGGATGAAAATACTGTGGCAGCTGACTATTGTGTTCATTTAATCCTTTTGACAAATATGTGGGGCAATATGGATATAATTGACCTTTTTCAATTCATGATGAATACGATTTCTTACAGGGATCTGCTAAAATCTCTTGTTGGTTCTCCAATGTTTCCTTCCTTCCTTCCACTGTTCAGTTTTATTTTATTTTCATTTTTCTGTCTTCCTTTTTCCAGCCAGAAATGTTACCCAGACCAAAATTGGACTTGTAAACATCATAAATTAGCTTTAAACAATATCCTAACCAACAATACTGAGGTCCTGGACAAGATGATCAATGACACAATACAACTGCATTTGAATGGTTGTTGGGAACTTTTACTCCTTAAAAAGATTTGTAGAAGATATTATTTCAAATAAAAACAAAAACATCAGATTAAGGGGTGCACATGAAATGAGGATAATAATTATCTAGGAAATGCAACAAATATAATAAAACCATTACTTCATTTTTAAATGAAGGGCATATAATTTTTGTTGTACATGTGTTTAGTGGAAGTTTTCACCATTATTACAATTTGCTGAATATCAACAGCAAAAATACACATATAACCAAAGTTATATAATCTGAGAAGTGCCCTGAAGAAAGTGTTCAAAATACATTTTAAGGCATCTCAATCTGTTTGATCATCATACCTCAGGTTTTGCCAGTCCTGAGCCTTTCATATATATGTTGAACCAAGTCTCCTATTGTGTAGTCATTATGTTAGATCCTAATTGGGAGTAATGGAATCTGTACTTCTTTCTTCCTATGTAGAGAAGTCTAGATTGAGAAAGCAATGTAATATGTTATACGGGTGTAGGCTTTCATAGCCTTTGGGTTATGTTGAGCTTCTGGTTTAGTAGCTGTGGTATATGCAACATATTTCCTGACATTTCTTGAAGGTGCAAGCCACAATCACTGGTGAAAGGTCAGAAAATCTGATATATTATAGATCATTGTCACTAAATCCTGAAGCTCAACACTGCTCGATGTTACATGTTGTTTCTGAAAACAACATGTTAAGGGGGAAAAAAATAAGTATTTAAAAGATGGGAAGGGAAGGATAGCAGAAGGAGAGGAGAATCATTCTAGAAATGAATTTCCAGATAAGAACATAATTTTACAGACAATTGAAAATAAACCCTTTCAAAACACACCAATAAACAACTGTGCAAAAGTTTTAGAGTAACTATGTGCTTGTCTATTTAATCAAATACATTTCTTCTCAAACAACTTTGTCCTCAAATTATGGGTATTCTTTCTGCTTGTTAACTTTGCTTTGGTATTAGCATGTAGAATATGTAGCAGAGGTTCTCACTTTTACCATTTCTCATTATAGTGAATCTCATGGTCTTTTCCTTTCTGTAAAGAAAACAAATAGCTAAAACTAAAAGCCAGGGCAATATGCAAAGCTGGTTGTTATATGCTTCTCTAGTGCAACAATAAATGTTTGTTAATCAGAAAATTCTACCTGTATACAAAGCTGTAAGGATAATCCCCCACTTCTTGGTATCTATGGCATTTTTTTCTGCCAGGCGTTGCAGTTTATCTCCATTGTCATTTGGATTAATTTATTTTAAATACTTAGAATATAAATGAACATTCATGACAAAATAGCAGCTTAGCTAGTAATATGGGTGCCAACAAATAGAAGCAAATCAGCCTCAACAGGGTTGAGGCCTCAAATCAAAACAACAGGGAGTTTAGCTTTTCCATCAGTCATGCTGAAAAACTGTGTGCTCCACATTATCATTCCATCGATGGAATTGTTTTAGAGACTGTCTTCCAGTCTGAGCATAACCATTGTCCCCTTTATTTGCTATTTGTTTGTTTATTCAATTTGTATGGCTGCTCATCTCATTTAGTGACTCTGGGTAACTTACAACAGCTGAAACAATAATCCAATAGAAAACAAGTTAAAAATATATGCACATATAAGACATTGATAACCTTCAATAACCATGGCCAGTAGCCAAAGTCCACTCTGTAAAAGTACACTTTTACAAAGCAACTGTAAAAACTCCCCACCATTGCCAGACTCTCAAGCATGGTAGTGCTGTATCTGTTTCCTCTCATGTTTTATCACTTGCAGTAGAAATGCATTTCACCATTAATTTAGAACAGTCTACTATGGTGTCCACAGAGCAAGTTATGGAATAGGCCTATTTCCCAACAACTCTTATTTATTAGGTTCTCACTATTCAATCAAACTTTTTTTTCCCCACAGACTAGCACTGATGATGTTACCTAGTTAGGATAATGAAATGTTTGAAAGAAAACAAGCAAGCTCAGAGAACACCAAGGACCCCTCACTTCAACCCTGAGCTACAAATAGTCTCCTTTATTGGCAAAATATTGTAAAATATTGTTTTTCACTATCTAATCAAACTATTTTTTCAGACAGTGATACCAGTCTGAATCTGATGAATAGAAAGGCTACTGCAGCAGGGCGTTTCTGTTGTGATCCTTACTCAGTGCCTCTATCTGCGATATATTAGGAGAAATCAAATGAGTTGGGTAGTTCAAGTCTCAAGCCTCATCAGTCCCGAATACTGTACAAGCAAGCACCCCCAGTGCTGAGATGTTGGCTCAAGATAATAGAAATCTTACTTCTTTTCTATATTCCCCATTTAATCAATGCTTAACAACAATACTTAGCAATATCCAGAACCTTAAATAATAGTCTGTTTTCCACAAAACCATGTTCTGGCTCAAAAGATCCTTGAACTTACTTTTTTTTTTTTCTCCAGGATCTTCAACGTTTTTTGTTTTTTTTTCCAAAGAAGGATTCATTTCTGATTTCCCTTACTAGATGGAACTTTGACAAAAAACAATACACCTCACCAAAAGCAAACAGTCTTAGCTTAACCATCAAGGAAATGGAAGAGCATCCTCTATTTACCTCTCACAGCTCCACCTTGTTAGTTGCATGGAAAAATAGTCCAAATCTCCCACTATATAAGAGTTTAGGAGTTCAGGTGACTTTGTCCTGCTGGTCAGAGCCTGGCTGCACACACGTTGCTACCAAGCTCCATTCAAGATGGGGTTTGGTACAGGACCCAAGATACCATTATGGGCTGTAATTCTAGTGATCTGCTGTATCCAACAGAAAGGTAAAAAAAACCTCTCATTTTTGTGATATATTTGTAAAAATAAAAAGCAATCAAATATATAGTAAATTGATTTTGAAAAACACAGGTGATTTGATTTGTAAATTATACGGATTTTTCAATTTCAGCAAATTCCTTTCCCCAACAGTTAGTACTATTTAAACTAAATATTTAATGTACCTTCATTGAAGGAAGCATTAATTTGATGCAGCCTGAAGTACAACATGCTTAATGATATATCTATGAGGAAGGCTTTGAAGATTAAATCTAATCTTATAAAAGCATAAACCTCCCTCCAAACATTATTTCATTCGGAATACACATTTCTTATCAAAATAATTAGCTTGTAGTGATGAAGTTTACTGATGTCTCTTGTTTAGAAAGATTTCAAAAGAAAGACTTTTTAAGTTATCCCAGTGCCTTCGTTAATTTGTATAGCCTATATGGAATTTGGAAACTTAACATTCAAAGAAAAATAACAATATCTCTTTTGAACTATGCTACTTATTTGAAGAGATTGGAATGAGTGAAGCATTTTTGGCCGAAGAAGAAGGTCTTGAACTATTTCATTTTTAATTAAAATATTAATCCTTGCAGTCTATAACTAAGCTTTGAAGAACAATAACAGTAACAGCTTCCCTTTATCTCATGTCTACAAAACTTGTGCAGTTTTGTAGACATGAGTATACAGTATATTCTGTATAGTTTATTGTTGTATTGGAGATTAATTCTCTTATCAAAACGTGAATATTGTTGAAAAAGGAAAAAGTATTCATTCTTCTTAATTATATAAATGGAGAGATGGAATGAGACTCAGTGTTCAGACACCCATGTCTTTGCATCTGACTTCATCTTTTATCTGGATTACAAAACCTGGATTGCCACCAGATAGGAACAAAGAGTCAGTTTTCTGTATTTTTTTTGAAGCTGATATTAAGAAATGACAGACAATCCTTTTAATAGCAAATGAATGTGAATCAAGTTTTTGATTTGAATTTAGACTAACATGTTTTCCATTTGGTTGTTAGAGTAATATGGATTCATCTCATTCAAGAACCATTAAGGAGACCTGTTCTGCTCCATCCCATGAAGCATCTGATAGTTACCGCCCCTCTCCCCTGAATTGAAACACATATCCTCTTATACCATCAATCTATAAAGCCTTTGAATATATAAAACAGAAACAAATGAAATTATTCATTTTTAATCAGCTACATTGATTGCCATTAATTTGCAACCTTAATCCTTGATTCTACTATTTGCAGTGCTCAAAAATATCATTTTTCCCATTCAGACAAACAAGATTATTAAGGGCATAACTTGTGTTAGATTATGCCCATGTAAAATATTTCTTCATTTTAGTTAGATGTTATACTATATCAATTAATCCAAGTTGGAGGATCTCAAGAATCTCTGCAATCTTTTCAAAATGTCCTATTTTTCTATATTTTATGTGGAACTTTCTCCCACAGATAGCTTCCACATAAATATATGGGGAATCACTAAAATTGGGTCTAAAAAGCCAGTATATCTTGAGGGTACATGATGGAAGAATGGGGCAGAGATGAGCAAATGGGAGGTGGGTCTTGACAACCCTTTTGTGAATATGTGACCACCTGTATTGAAACCACTGAAATATATCATTAAATCATAAATAAAAGAGATGCACGTGTTCAACTTTAGCAGGAAAACCAAATAAAGGAGGCATAAACTGAATTTAGTCACGCAACTAAAAAAGGAAAAAATAATGAAAAAATCAAGCTCTGCTCATTCATATGACATAATTTTATTATTGTTTCACCCATTGAGGCTCTTGTTTGACTGCTTCTGCTGTATGTGTGCGCACAAACAACCACGTGTTCTTCTTTTTTTCTGTAGCTTCAAGTGTAGAAGATGTACCTGAAAGAGTTACCATCATCCCACCATTGAAAAAAATTGCTGTTATATCATGTAAGTGACTAAAATGAAATGTTCTTGTATCTATGAGTTTTAGTTACAAAGCCAGCAATGTTAATAAAGCATCTAATATAGGTAGTCCTTGACTTATAACCACAAGTGAACCCAAAATTTATGTTGCTAAGTGAGAAATCTGTTGTGACTTTTGCCCCATTTTACCACTTTTCTTGCCACATTTGTTAAGTGAATCACTGTAGTTGTTGAAGTAATAACATGGTTGTTAAATGAATTTGGTTTCCCTGTTGACTTTGCTTGTTAGAAGGTTGCACAAGATGATCACATGACCCTGGGACAATGCAACCATCATAAATATGAGTCAGTTTTGGTAACTATATTACAAAAGAAGGTGTTGAGAATTTGGAAGAAATTGCAAAGAGAAGCAACTATGATAATGAAAGGCCCGGAGACAAAAGCATATGGAGAAAGATTGCAGGATGTAGCTAGTCTGGAGAAAAGAAGGACTGGGGTGACATGATAACAGTATTCCAGTATTTGAGGGGCCACCACAGAGAAAAGGGGGTCAACTTATTTTCCAAAGCATCAGAAGGCAAGAGACGAAACAATGGATAGAAACTAATCAAGGAGATAACAATCTGGAACTAAGGAGAAACTTCCTAACAGTGAGGACAATTAACCAGTGGAACAGCTTGCCTTCAGAAGTTGTAGGTGCTCCATCACTGGAGATTTTTAGGAAAACACAAGATAGCCACCTGTTTGAAATGGTATAGGGTCTCCTGCTTGGGCCGGGAGTTGGACTAGGATCGGATTAGAAGACCTCCAAGGTCCCTTCCAGCAACATTCTGATCTTATTTCCACAACAATAGCAATCTGCTTAGTTGTATTTACAGATCTTTGCAACTAGTTTTAAACCTATTATGATGCAGAGAAATCTGCTGCCTGTTGTAGCCTGCTAAAGACACAAGGCTTCTTTTACTACTGCTGATCTTGCTTGTTTGCACTTTAACAAACTCATGTTAGTAAGTATCTAATTATGGTTTACTCCAGTTGATACACGGGAATGAGGCAGTAATCTTGTGGATTTGCTTCATGATTGCTCCACAATTATCCAGCTTCCTCCAGGCTGGTTTTCCTCTAGAAGAACTTTCTTTACCATGATAGCAGATATGTTGGTCTTCATCACACTTGGGAAGACATTAGAGTAGGGGACCCAGGCCTAGAGAAAATCCAGAACTACTATTACTCCATTTCTAAGTCAAGAACACGAAAGAAGAAATCACCAGAGCAAAATGGAGAAGGAGCCAAATGCTGCAAAGCTCTTCCCTGTCTAAATGTTTATGCTCTATGCCCCTCTATTTATCCACCCCAAACAAAATGTAATAACGGTGTATGTATTAATATGTTTGTATTAATTATTTACATCCTCTTGGGTTTTCACAGCCTTTCACTCCGCTCATAACGGACAGATCTGCAGCACATGGGGTTCCTTTCACTTCAAGACATTTGATGGTGACATTTATAATTTTCCTGGAGCCTGCAATTACATATTTGCCTTCCATTGCGCTGAAACATTTGAGGACTTCAATATACAAATTAGACGCCAAATAGTAGGGAACACCTCCACAATTAGCTATATTGCCGTGATTCTGGCTGGGACAAATTTTAAAATGGAAAAGGATAACATTTTGGTAAACGACAAACGGTAAGTCCTTAGTTCTGCATGCTGAACAGTATGCTTTGTGGAGATTCTCATCTAGAATCCACAACATACTCTGAATTCTGTATTTCTCAAAATTTTCATGTGGAAGTATCGTCTACAGACATAGGCATCCACAAAAGAGGGATAAGAGAAGGGAAAATCATGGACTGTGACACAAACTCAGCCTTTACATATTTGCATACAACACTAGACCATAAATGCAAAAGGGCAGAAGATGTATTGTGATAACACATATGCGCATTATGTCATCATCATGGTTAGTATTGACAACTATCACCAAACATTCCTGAAGATGCAGATGTTTGTAATGTCAAAACACTTGCAAATGAGTACATGATTTGAGGACATCCTAAGTGGCATTATTTCAAACATGCATGATGAAGACAAGTTAGATTTTTCAGACCAGTTTCTGTTCCTTCTAATTTTTGGAACATGAGTAAAGAAACAAGCAGAACATCATGGTAAGAAGTTATGTGCAGCATACATGTGGAAGAAAAGAAGTCCAAATACTTACATCATCTCATCAGATTACCTTTATTTTTCCTTTTGTGGGTTTTAAATATAGGAAGGGTTGCAATCCTTAGGTGAGTTGATAGCTATGTGACCATCTTAAGAGGCTAGATAATGGCTAGAAGAAATTATCCATCAGAAACTGTTCTTCTAATCAATAGGAGTTGGCAAGAACAAATTACTGTGGTATTATATAGATTTGGAAAGGAATAGAAAGTTTTGTTTAGGTTTCATATATTTGCTACCTCTTTACATTCACCTTCACCAAGGAAGGTCCCTGCCTATTGACTATGCTGATTGAAATTGATTGTTGGAACATTTGGAGAATCTTAACTGGAAGTAGCTAGCCTGTAGGCACATCTGTATTTACTATTTAAAATGCTTGTGTCCGGTGTTTAATGGTCATACAAGTTTGGTTTTAAGCTAATTTAAGAAAATCCTATCAAGACTGAGACACCTAGGCAAGTTTGCAAGGTATTTATGCTAACTGCAAACTCTATGGCCTTTCATTGGTCAGTTACCCACCCACCCCTTCTTTTGTGTAAAAACAATTGTCAATCACCTTCTTTCACATGGACAGCCCTACAGAATGGAATGGAATGGAATAGAATAGAATAGAATAGAATAGAATAGAATAGAATAGAATAGA